TATGTGAACAACTACTGTTGCCCAAATAGCTACATCCAGAGTCCAAGTAAGAAGGGTGATACAGAAGACGAAAATAGTAGCATTTGACATAATTGCCATTAGATATCCCTAAATCTTACTTCAAGTGGAAAGATAACCTCATTAGTTCTACTCAAAGCTGTTATCACTTTTAAACGCACAGTACTATGCAGCCTTCTGATAAGCGCCAGTTAACCTAAAATTGTTTTTAAAGGCTTTTACTGTATGCCAGTGGTGACCTACTATCAAACCTAGAAGATCCTATCTTCCATTTTGCACAGGAGACACAATGCAATTTTACTGCTTTGCTACAAACACGTAAGTGATGGAGTAGGGTGGGAGGAAAGGCAATTCAAATGCTTAGCTTGAGCTGGTATAACAACTAGCAGGAGGAGGAAAACCGTTAAGCTTTTTCCCCTGGAATCTGTTGTGACAGAAGGGGTACTGCACATTCACAAGGCATCCTCCCTCTCACTCTTCTCCCTGCCCCCCAAAAATAAGAGAAAATCTTTTTTGTCCACTTGAATCAATCCATAAGGTACATCAACAGACATTTGGCCACCTAAGCTGCAGCAATGCAAGGGAAGTTTAACAACGTAGCTGGCAGGAACACATTTTCTCTCCCTCCACAGTTCTGTGAGGAACCTGAAATCTGGTAGACAAAGTCTAAAATGCGAGACGATCGCACATACATATAGTGTTTACACTGTGACATACTTTCAGATTAAGTTGTATATGGAGTTGACATAATAGATGGTATCTGACAATATGGTTATCTAACAGCCGCATGGAGACGTATTTCACACAGTGCCCGGAATCTGTCAGATAACTCCTTAATAATGCTGGGTTTGAGCTTGAATGTGGTTCAAAAGCCGAGAAAGTTGAGGTCATTACTCTAGTCTTTCCTCCCCGTTCAAACTGGCAACCCTAGTCGTGGTTGAAATGGCTGCACTGGTGATACAACTATACTTATTTAGAAATCCAGTATTTGTAGAGTAAGTACAATTTTCTGAGCGAAAACTATTATGTCCCAATCAACCTTAACATTTTCTCTTTTAAATAAAAACAGGTTTTGTACGTCTTATGTTGCCAACTGTAAAATGCTCTTGAAACACTCACTGCATACCACTAAAACCTTAAGGATTCATGAAGTTTTTCATTCCAATAATTAAAATGCAAGTAGGAAAAAAAAAAAATTATCTTTAAATCCCTTTCAACAGCACAGCCATCCTACTCAGGAGCTGTACAGAGCTAACTAAGCTCCTTAATTCTCTTCTATTTAACCCACTCCTGAAGACTGATGTTCTAATGAGATATCAGCAGAAGATTCTGTCCTTTGCCATAGAGCATTAGAAATGATTCCACAAAACAGTCCAGGCTAAACCAGACATTTAACTCTTGTACAATTGGTTAACATAATGCAGTTTGGGAGTTTGTATACTTTTCTACAAGAGGCAAGGTACTGAATGACAGGTCTGCCTCCAGGCAGGTCACAGAGATCACAATAACCCACCCAAAAAGAGGGAAACCTAGCTGTCACTGCTGGGATAGCAGAAACCCACATACTGTAGTAGTTTATATAGTCTGTCAGTTGGTTCAGCATTGATGAATTTTTCTTTCTTTGGCTGCCTGCCACTGAACAAAAGCTAATCTTGCACCTAAACAATCTAGCATTAAACACACAGGAAGCCTTATCTTCTGACTTATGACAGAAGATGACAGACAGAGCTGGTGAAAATAAAGAGGCGCTGCCCTAATAGCCAAGGGCAGCAACCCTTTAAGTACAGCGTGATTTTTAACACCCAACCAACTCTACATCTTGGCACTAACAGTTGATGCATCTGCTTTGCCAGCCACGGATGTCAGAGTGGGAAAAATCTGACTTGGATGGTACAACACAGAAGAGAAACTTAAGACCCCACAAAACGTCCTTATTCATTTTGTCTTCTTGATACATATAAAATACCTGATTCAAGTGCATCTATCCTAAACGAATCCTCAGGTGCCTGTTTCTGTGTCAGGCATGCAAACCTTATTTTTAATTATCTCTGAAAACAGTATAGGAATCCACACACAACATCCTCTTAAGAACTAATCTTTGACATTCTTAACAAAATTAAAAAAAAAAAACATACAGAAGCGAGACCAAAAAAACCACCACCCTCCCAAAAAAACCCCACATACCAGCCACAAATATTTCAAAAAGATTATTTCCTGACCACTGTTCAGCTAGCAGGTTGAAATGCAGCAGCAGTACCTGGATTTAAGCACACAGTTATGCAACTAAACACTGCAAAGTGTGAAAGCTAAAGTTGTGAAGGAAGCCTTACCATGGCCATTTCTGGACTCAAACGCAACATATTCAAGTGGAAAGCTCTGCAGTGCAGCTGTTTGTGTATGGGAAGTTCACCTCAATTAATTCTGTTTATAGCAACACGCAAGTCTTGACTAACTTTGTTTTAGTCAAACTGTAACAGACTACCAAATCAAATGAAGAGAGAACTGCTGACGTAACCGTATCAGTACAAGAAATCAACCCTTTCACACGCAGGCCAACTGCAACTACTTCATTTTATCGAAGTGACTCTACCTTAACAGCGATGTATGCACCACACTGCATAAAGAAACACTGCTGCAGTGTAATTTTTTGTTTTTCAATCAGCAGCCCAAGCGCTCTGAAGGGCTTCACACAGAGTGAATGCAGCATCCACATAGGAGGCAGGCCTTAAAAATGTTAAAGCTTGTTCAGCGGAAAGTTTCCCCATCACTGCATTTTTCAGTAACAAAGATGTTGTCAGAAATGACAATTTTTCGTGTCCCCTGATGATGCCTTGCTAGCATTTGGTTATAAGCCATAAAGCAGGAATAATTTCAGCCTGTCAGGAGTCTAGCTAATGCCCAGTTTCCCCCTAGAGAGAATTCCTGTCAAACGTAATGAGAGCTCCAAAGGCCCTCTCTACAACATAATGAGCACTTAGGCCATGCTGGTGATCAGCCAGCAAAAAGCATCAATTTGAGCCTGGCTACACCCTTGGGGCTAGACATCACCAGTTTTAATAAGAATTATGATACTATCTGCCAAAAGCCTCCTCAGAACTTATCGTTAGCAGTGGAAATTCAGAAGAATGTCATCGGTAGATTACAGGAAACAAAAAAAAACCCCTAAGACCACCTACATACTGAACTGTAACACCATTTGGCATCCTCATTGCAGGCATCTAAATCAAGAGCCTTCAACAAGAAGGTGCTACTTTTATCGGAAATTCGAATTACTTAACATGTAAAAGCATAGTATCTGAGACTCATATCCAGAGAAATGTATTCATGCCTTCAAAAGCTTATTCTTTTCTTAACAGCATACACAGAGCACGTGTGCTCTACTCTCCCCAGCTAGAACCAACATAGGTATAATGCTCTGTCATAAATCTTAAAAGCTTCCAAAGTATCACTGCCTACTGGGTATGTAATTATAGTTGCCATACATACAGAACATTAAACCTTTGCAATACACAGATGTTAAGGTCAAAGTGGAAACCTCAGTTCCGACACTCTTTAATCTTGTGGGCTTAACTGATTTTATCTAAAGTTAGTTCTTAGTACATGTACTGAAGTCACACGTTCTCTTCAAAGATCTTCTGAAAACAACGTCCATTTCACACCAAATGAGGCTCCTATACAGATGTTGGCTTCCTTGCAGGTTACAGTGTGCCAAAAAGTTGTTTAGGAGAAGAAAAAAAAAATCCAAGAAAAATCTCCAAATCACAAAAGCCTGGAAAAGTCACCTCACAGAAAAACTGGCGCTCTTCTAAAACACAAGACGACTAATGCAGCTACAGTACAGAACCAAGTCAAACTCCAGTTCTTCTGTCTGCATTACTTAAAAAAGTGGTTGTCATGATATTTCTTCTTCTACCGGCATTTTGGATTCAAACAAGTGTACCTCTAAAAACCCAGAGAATACCTACCCAGCTTTGCAGACAGAAAGCCGTCATGGAATTACAATACCACCTTATCAAATATAGTATTTTTAGGGGAAAACAAAACAAAAATCAAAGAGTTCACAGTTACAAAAGCAAAATTCAACTCTGCAATTCACTTGCTTAACGAAAGTCTTTGAATATACTGAAGATCCGAAGCCTGAACTAATCAATTTCTTCGCTGTGCCCTAGCCGGTCAGCCATGCTCTTTAATTTAATGAAACAAGAGTTTTAGATGAAATAGCACATACACATCACAAAAGAATTGTATTGTTGCACTTTGAAATGTGTCCAACTGTGCAACTTCATCTAATGATAATTTTTTTTAAGAGGCCATCGATTTCTGGAAGACTTATTGTATCAGCATCTTGATGAAAAAGTGAATGTCAGGATATCTACAGAATACTTACACCCTGCCATTAATGCTTTATTTGGCAGACAATGACTACTCAATTGAGGGTCCTCTGGGTTGAGCAATCATTTAGCTTTTCTTCTCTTATGAGGTCCTTAGCGTCTTGTTCCAGTTCAATACTCTTTTTATTCACCATTATAGTGGCCATAAGTGTGAATTTTATGGGAACTTGCAAACTCATAGTCATAACTAGAGCTTTCCAAGTCACTAATCTTTTCATACCCTTAAATGGCAAGGATTTGAGCAACTATTGCTACATATGCTACACATGCATAAGACCAGACATATCAAAGGCTCTACCACCAACAAAAGAAAACCACGTAAAGTACTGAACTGTATTTTTGAAACCACAGACACAAGACCTTTCCTGTTTTTGCCAGTGTCTTTCAGGACCAATACCAAGAAAGCCTTGTTGCTCAGCCTAATCTATACCTCATTTGACAGCAGGTAGGCAAAGGTTTACTAATCATGGCTACAAATCAGCCTATTGATTCAGACACATGATACAGTCATCCGAACATAAACAGAACAGCTACATTTAAATGCACTAGACAGACTGCAGATTTTGTGGTTTAGAAAACAAAATGCCTTACCTGTTTGTGCATTTCAATGTTTAATCCATAGGACATTTCATAATACTGCAAATAAAGGAGCATACATTATTTCCTTATGCTGGCTTACGTTGTATTAGGAGATATTTACTGAAATAAAAGAAAAAACAAATATACTTACCATCACATAGTGCCTCTGCATTTCTGTCTTTTCGCTTGCCAGTTTCTCACATTCCAATTTAAGGCTACAAAATAGATCACACTTTAATGTAACTGTTATGTCATTCGTTTTGACATCTACCCACTTTATTTGTATTTTGACAGAAGCAGCTAATTTAAAAAGCCTCAAAAACTAACACACAAACACAGAAAGACTTAATTCATACTTTAAATACAAAGACTGAACAGGAAATCTAAAAGGTATTTCATGGGTGCTGTATGAGACCCAAACTGTCTCCAGAACCCAAACATATCCAATCTTCATGCTTTGACAAAGAGCTGCTATGAAGTGCTACAACTTTCAAGCTGTAACAGGATCTGAATTTCTCCAAAGCACTTCTCAGCAGTAAAATAGAGGTATATTTCTTTGTATATGGCATTTAGTAAATTACTGCCAAGTAAAACCACTCGTGTTTACATTTACAACTTGAATACATCTATAATTCTTAACCTTAAGTACATTCTAGCTAATGTTATCTTGCCCACAGCTGGAAAATTAGTAACTTTGACTAATATTTACTAGCAAGTTTGTTTTCTATTTTCGTTTTCATAAATGAAAAGAAGTTGCATATGGCACTTGCATATCCCATCACTAACAAGGGTATAATTCTGACTACTTCCACTGAGGGCAAATGCCTCAGCATTCCCTTTGTTCTCTGGCAAACTGATGTTTTCTGTTTTTTTTAATGACACTAGTAAGCATCCTAGGGAACAGTTAGTGTGTAAGCCACCATTTTTGACTTGCAGCTGCGATACCGAATGCTTATAGTTTACACTGCATTTCTAAAGTAATAAACGACTTAAACAAGTTAACGATTTTATGTAATACTAAGATTACAGTATCATAGATAAGAAAGAAGATGCCTGATCAAACCCAAGCGATTTCTAACTGGGAAACCTGCAAAGCTTTTATTCCTATCCAGACCTTGCAGGTGCTCGTAAGTACAAAACTAAGGAAGATTCATATCCCTTAACACCAATTGCCCTGTGTACGCAAGAACCCATACCCTAAATCTCTGTAGGGACCTCAGCAGCAAGCACAAACGCAACAAGAACGCCTGAAGGACAGCATAGCAACCAGAAACGCATGTCACAGCTTCAGTAGATTCACGTCAACTTTGTGTTAATACTCCAGTAGTCGTGTGCTTTAACAATCCTTCTCGGCTCTTCAAGCACCGCACGTTGGCATTCTATTAATCTTTGCATTAACATCACACGCAAATGAGCAAACATGAGAATTACCCTCCTTAACGGTCTGTGCCACAGAATTAGCGCAGGTCTTCCCTCGACATGAGAAAATCCTCCACGTAAGGATCCCCCACGAATACGACTTTTTTTTTTAACGCGTACCAACGCCGAACCGCTCCAGCTTCGACATGACCACCTCGGCAGGCGCCGGGGCAGCACACCGGCAGGAGGGCCCGCGCAGGGCCGGGCTGCCTCCGCCTGAGCCCCTCTCCGCCCGGCA